TTCTGAGCAATTACCTTCAGGAAGCCTCTTACTTAATTCATGTGCAAACAGCAAATTTGCAAGTTTGCTCTGTGCATAGGGTCCTTTCATATGATCCTGTCTTCCTGGATGACCCTTTTCTGCATAAATGTTATCAAAATCAATGTGAGCTCTCTTAGCCAGAGCTGATGATACTACAACAACCCGACTCGGCGATGATTTCTCAAGCAGCTCTAACAGTAGTTTTGTCAACAGAAAGTGTCCAAGATGATTTACACCAAAATGAATTTCAAACCCATCCTGGGTTTTGATCATAGGGGGGTCCATAAACACCCCTGCATTGTTGATCAGAACATCTAATCTTATTTCTTCTTTCAATATTTCATCAGCAAATTGACGCACAGATGCCAGAGATGACAGATCAAGGTGCTTCACGACTAATATCGCATCTTTAACCTTGCAACAGATTTCTCTCGCGGCTTGCTTGCCTTTTTCAAGACTTCTACAAGCGAGAATAACACGAGCTTGACGTTTACCAAGCTCCACAGCTACTTCTTTGCCAAGCCCTGTGTTTGCTCCAGTGATGATCACAGTCTTCCCTTTCATAGACACATTATTCTTGCATACTCCTCCTGCAAAATAGCAGCGTAAACGATAGTAAACGAAAGCCAGGCCAGCTGTTACAAGAGACACGGCAACAACGGTTGTATTGCTAGGCATTTCCCCGTCTTTTTTTCCACTTTTTTCAACTTTCCAGACGACCTCTAGGAGCCCATGAAGTCTTTGAACTGCGGATGCTACCAACAGTATCATTTCTGTCATTTATTTTGTCACTGAAACATTGTTAGTTCCCAATTTCTCTCGTTTTCCATCATGGCGGGTTGTGGCCACGAACACCATGAACACGAACATGACCATTCTGAATCGGAGAGAGGCGCCCAGTTTTATCTTTTCCAGAAAATCGACCTGATAAAGCTTCAGTGCCTCAATGAGGCTCAAGAAGGCTCGGCTAAAAACGTTTTTAAACCGTGGGACGAACGTCTCGATACGACGAAGTTTGTGGAAAGCGATGTGGACGAAGAACTTCTGTTTAACATTCCTTTTGTTGGTCAAGTTAAACTCAAAGGCATCGTGGTCATAGGTGGAGAAAATGGCGACCATCCATCAGAGATGATGCTTTACAAAAATCGTCCATTTATGACGTTTGACGACGCGAGAGGGGAACCAGATCAAAAGTTCGACCTGAATGAAGATCATGATGGAAGTCTGGAATACACCCCCAAGGTGGCGCGATTTTCAAATGTAGAACATCTCTCCATTTATTTTCCTCGTAACTTTGGAGCTGAAACTAGTAAAGTTTATTTTATCGGCTTGAAAGGTGATTTTCAAGAGGCGCATCGCCATGGCGTGACAATTTGCACGTACGAAGCGAAACCCAATCCAGCTGATCACAAAACTGGAACATTTGACAGTGTACATCATCCAGTCAGTTAGAGGAGTAAGAGAAAGATATATTTGATAAGTCGAGCTCTTGAACTGCATTTTTTTTGATATAATATAAAAGGAGGATAGGTTCAAAAAAGTTTGACATCGCAGATATGTATGATTTTACATTATAGCGCTTTTATATCACAATAAGAAAAGCTGACGTAAATCACAGCTTGCAACAAGGAAAGGGGTGAGCCATGCACAAACGCTCCATTATTTATTTAAGTGGCTTTGGGTAGTTGACAGCATATCCAACCATCCTGATTTTGTTGGGATTCTCCCGATTTTGCTGGAAAATCCAGAATCCCAACCAATATGTGATCAGGATAAGAAAAATCCCAATTTTGACATCTGTTCTGATATTTCCAGCACTCCCGCCAGCACTCCCATGATTCCTTGATTGTTAAAAAATATCCCGATTCTACATACTCAAAAGGTTGGACAGTCTGAATAAATGCTTGCAGTTCCCAAATAAACTGAATCTAATAGGCAAACTGTATTTTTTTTTTCAGTCCTGCCTACTGAATTTTAGACCAGGTGCTCACAATGTATGGGTATTCATAGCTCAGTTGGTAGAGCACTGTAGGGCTAATGCACAGGCCATGGGTTGAAATCCCATTGAAGTCCCGAAATTTTGGGGGGTTAATTTGTAAATTGCTTAAATTGTAATGACCATAGCAACAATCATATCTTCATTTAAATTTTAAAAGTTTTGCATTTGCCAGCTCTTTGTGCATGATCATTCTTCTTGAAATGAGGGTTAGTGATTAAACTTGCTTGTTTAACATCAACATACATAATGGCTATTATATTCAGCATTTGCTTTGTGTATACCCCACTATTATGAATGTATGATGCAAGTTCAAATCCCAGTGGAAAACTCTTTTTCTTTTTTGTATATTATTTTTTCTTTTTAGTTTTTTTCTGTTTTGTTTTTATCATATTTTTCCCTTTGCCTTGTTTCCCTTATTCTTACTGCTGACCCTCTATAGCTTCCCGAGGTTTTTGTGATAACATATTTCTAGTAGAGGTGTAAAATAAACTCTTACTAATAGGAACTCTTCCTAGCCATCAAGGAAAAAAAAAAACTCATGACCCCAAGGGTGTCTAATGGGAGTTGGCTGGAGCGTGAACTTTTGCTACATGACGACAAAGTAAGAACCAATCCATCTTTTATTTCAAGTATTTGAGTTGTTACCCCTTGAAATCTGTAAAGCAAAGACCCTTTGAAGTGTGATGACTTTGCACGTGCTGCGGACCTATAGACATCGCGGGTGAGGAAAGCTGAGCCCTAATCCCCATATTCCCGCGAATATTTAAGACGAGAACAAAGATGGCGGCGGCCTTGAGGTGGGATGGACGAATGGGTTTGTGATTGCCGCGAGCACTCTTTTCTCTGTAGGTTGATATCACCATGAGTGAAAAAAATGTGGTACGTAAGTAGATTTTTGGAAACTGCTTCTTCAGTAACTGGTTGTAGCTGTTTCAATTTGCCATGTTTTGGACCTTCATTGAAATTCGTATTTGCAGCTCAGCTGTATTTACGGACACCCGCCTAGTACGGACACCTCATTATTACGGACAATTTGTTTGGTCCCTGGGGAAAGAAAGCCCTTATGTCTAAATTCAACAGGCTTAACTCGAACACCCCGTCAATACGGTTACTTTCTACGGCCCTCTTGGTGTCCGAATGAACGGAATTGACTGTACAATGCCTACAATGTCTGTTACATGAATGTCTCGGGCGATATACATATACTAGTGATTTAAGCTCTGACCTATTTCAGGCTAAAAAGACTATTTGAAATAATTAAGCAAATGTTTTTATATGATGTTTACGTAAGTTAAAAATAAATTACAAAGATTCACCATTGCCAGCTATTGTTGCTTAAAAAGGAGTCATTTTGGTATCCTTAATAAGAGAGGTTTGATGGTTGTAAAAGGGTTTATTGGTTTATCGCACCTGCCCTCCCCAACCCTTTAAGAATTTCAGTTTAGGTTTACAGCTATTTCGAGAAACGTTATTGGAAATAATGTGTACACGACAATCCTGAAAGGTAACGTGGGATATGATCAATACACTGTTCCGGACACTGTAGCTGTCGAACCTACTTTTGTTGCTTTCCTTAAGCAATCGCAAACATATGTCCATGGCCTCTCGTGCCATTCTTTCAAATTTCTTTGAACAACAGTGAACTCCAATCCCCCCACAATACCTTTCGGGATTGTCACGTGCACTTTTTCTGACAACCTTTCTCGAAAAAGCTGCATACTTTCATTTCAAAATAAATGTTTTCTGAAAACACACCCTTTGCTCTAGCCCAACGCCAACCCTGTACTTGCCCTTCATCTCAACTTATCCAATGGCCAATTAGAAGACTTTAAAGCCAAGATTAAAAAACTCATCAACAATTCATCAAGATGCTTAGTCCTAGGTTCAGTTTCCAGCCAGTTTATATATCACATTCAACTGGTCAAGACTAGACTCACTGAAACGGCTGGAAATTATGCCTAGATACTGCAGTTAGTTTGCACACCCGGCTTAACAATTTATCACTATTACTTTCATCTTTAGCTCATCAGACAGCGGCTAATTGAACTAGAGAAGAAACATGCAAAAGCTTTGAAAAAACTTCAGGTGAGAATTATCCCTTATGTATACTATGTGAGTGGTTTGGTACAAAATTAAGTGCAGTACTATCATTATTATCACCAGTTAAGCTTTAATGTTTTCAAATTAACAGCGCGGTCCATGTAAAATCAAGCTATTCTTGCTTACAATTTCAGAGAGCTGAAAAGTACAAGCAGAGGCGACAAACTTTTCATGGATTTACAGTTAGAGATGCAAACACTAGTAATTCAATCACTGTGGACAACTCTAACGTTCTTTTATCTAAGGACACAATCTCTACAGATGTTAGAAACTCACGGTGCTCATCAGCTCAAAAAAAGGGAGTTACTAAAACTGTGACATTCAAGGAAGCTCTTGACAGTGATAGTAAAGGTCAGCCTCGATCAGAGAATGAATGCAAAATTGTAGAGCAAAGTGGCAGGAACAAAACATTTAACAGGAAATCTGAATTATTAGCTTCAAGTATTCCACAGCAAATATCTGAAGACAATGAAAAGGTGTTGCAGTGTTCGGTCAGCAGTGACAACAGCTTTGTTGCAGTAGATAGTAGTATGGTTACACCAACAGGCTCTCTTATTTCATCTGATAATGAAACAATTCTTGATAGTGATGTGGCTTCTACGGATGGGAAAGATTGTTTCCAGAGTCATCAAGGTGTAGACCTTAAGGCTATAGACAGTCGTCTCTGTGGCTCAGGACAGGGTGTTGTACAAGTACCTTCAGCAGGTAATGAAAGTTGTAACCATGAATTGTCGCAAAAGCAATGTCATTCTAATGGTCTGCTAGGGCAACATAATGCAAAAAATGTGTTAGCTCAAAGCAAAGAAAATGTCAAGATGAGGAATTCATCAGATCATCATAATGCACAAGATGATAGCACACGACATACATGTAGCTTGGAAAAAGCAAATGACAGAGTGACTTTAATTGAAAATGGTGGAAAACATCAACACAAATCAACCACCAACTCATTCACCCTGGATGAAAGTAATGATTTTCCTTCAGGAAATCAGCCCTGGTTATGGCTCTTTGAAGAACAGTTTCCAAGAAGGTCTCCACGGATACAATCAATGCCAAACTTCAGAGATCGAGCTCATTTTTCTCAGGATAACAAAGTTACACATCCAAAGAAAACAAAACGCATAAGAAAAAAGAAGTCAAGGACAGAGAATGATACTCCAATCAGTAGAAACAATAACTTAAAATCTACCACGGTACATGAAAATAACGGCAATTCGCCACATAGCAGTTTTCCTGAAGAGAGTTCATGTATCAGCAATTTTGTTTTTCCAAGGCCTACTCAAGAACAAACAAAAAATGGTGGGTCTCTGGCTGTTGTAGTTGACTTTTCTCTACCTGATAGAGAGTTTGCAAAGCTGAAGCTTGCAAAAATCAAGGGAACTTTGTCAGCAGAAAGGTCAAGTAAAGACCTAAATACTGTAGTGGAAAAGATTACGGAAGAGCATGGTACTGAAGTGANTGTGGCTTCTACGGATGGGAAAGATTGTTTCCAGAGTCATCAAGGTGTAGACCTTAAGGCTATAGACAGTCGTCTCTGTGGCTCAGGACAGGGTGTTGTACAAGTACCTTCAGCAGGTAATGAAAGTTGTAACCATGAATTGTCGCAAAAGCAATGTCATTCTAATGGTCTGCTAGGGCAACATAATGCAAAAAATGTGTTAGCTCAAAGCAAAGAAAATGTCAAGATGAGGAATTCATCAGATCATCATAATGCACAAGATGATAGCACAAGACATACATGTAGCTTGGAAAAAGCAAATGACAGAGTGACTGTAATTGAAAATGGTGGCAAACATCAAAACGAATCAACCAGCAACTCATTCACCCTGGATAAAAGTGATTATTGTCCTTCAGGGAATCAGCCCTGGTTATGGCTCTTTGAAGAACAGTTTCCAAGGAGGTCTCCACGGATACAATCAATGCCAAACTTCAGAGATCAAGCTCATTTTTCTCAGGATAACAAAGTTACACATGCAAAGAAAACAAAACGCATAAGAAAGAAGAAGTCAAGGACAGAGAATGATACTCCAATCAGTAGAAACAATAACTTAAAATCTACCACAGTACATGAAAATAATGGCAATTCACCACATAGCAGTTTTCCTGAAGAGAGTTCATGTATCAGCAATTTTGTTTTTCCAAGGCCTACTCAAGAACAAACAAAAAATGGTGGGTCTCTGGCTGTTGTAGTTGACTTTTCTCTACCTGATAGAGAGTTTGCAAAGCTGAAGCTTGCAAAAATCAAGGGAACTTTGTCAGGAGAAAGGTCAAGTAAAGACCTAAATACTGTAGTGGAAAAGATTACGGAAGAGCATGGTACTGAAGTGACGAGAGATACAAAACTGTTTGATACAAAGTGTGAAAATAAAACAGTTGTTGAAGAGAAAACAGCTGCAGAAAATGTTGGTGAGGTTGAAGATCATGCAGCATCAGGACTTGAGGAAATGAAAGGTCAAACAGAGAGGACGGAAAAACAAAATTTCAGGTTAGAAGGAGGTGTAATTTCCTCAGCCACTGGTTCAAAATGTCTAACCCAGCAAGAAAAAAAGAAAAACTCCACACAATTGGTTTATAATGAGCAAAAATGTAAAGAGTCCAGAATTGTATCTTCCGGAGATGCTTGGTGGAGCAATTCCTTTGAATCAGATCATGAACAAGTGGTTTCTCACATGCATAGTGTGACAGCAAAACAAAGTCAGGTTTCTTCAGAGAAAGAATCACAAAAATATAAGGGTGTTGGAACTTGTGCAAATCACTGCAATTCCTGTCATATCAATGGCTCATGCACATCTTTTACTGACGTTGTTCAGCAAACTGATGACAATGGAAAGTTAAATGAATCCTACAACAATTTCTGTGATGGAAATTCCTCTTGGGTTAAATCTAACATCTTAGACAATCTAGGTGATGGATTATCAAAGGGGAAGACTCCACTAGCAAAATCCACAGTAGAAATTAATGAGGAAGACAATTTTTCAAGTCAGAAACACTCTAATGAATTAAATTTGAAAGAAAGTGTTGTACTCAGTGACTGTGGTAATGCAGTTTCCGGCGAAGCAATTGTTAAAGAAATGACAACGATCCCCATCAAACAGCAACATGTTCAAGAGGCGGTCAGTTTAACTGAAGTGAAGTCTAGCCCACCTCAATATTACAATGAGCCGAGTTTAGGGGATGCAGCCACTCCACATGGAAAGATGAAAGAACCTTTAGAGAGCTCACAGCTGTCCCAGTTGATGTCACCAGAGGAGAGCAAAGACTTTTCTCCTTTGTTAATGACAGCTTGTTTGCAGGTAATAAGGTGTTAAAATTTTTTATTTGTTGTTTCAATTTTATCCCTGGTCTAAGTTTTCTTTTCTTTTCTTTTCTTTTCTTTCACACACAATCATCACCATACATTATCACACAAACAAAGCAAAATGTACACTGTATTGAAAAGGGACAAAATTTATCCGTGGAACAACTTAACATGCAAGGAACTCCTGGATCATATGGAAGGTGTTAGGGTTTTACTTTCCAACAACTTAATATGACACAATTAACTCCCAAAAGGACGGGAGGGAGAAAGAAAAAAAACTTTATCTACAGGGTTTTCATTAAGAATTCTAATAGCAAGAGAAATGTGTAATGTTACAGGACAATATTTTGAAAGAGGCTTCTTGTCTGAATAAAAAATAATAATCATAGGCTAACTAATGTTAGCCCGAGAATTTTGCATAATAATGGTGAATTATCTGATCTCCAATGCCTAATGAACACCCTTATCCATCGAACAACCACATGGGGTTGCTATCCAGTTGCTTCAATTTGATAAGCACTTGCCTACTGAGCGGGAGGCCTCTGGTTCAAACTCGGCCAGACTAACACTCAGGTTCTTGAAATAACTGACGAGAAAGTGCTGCCTTTGTAAGGACATCTGCAAACGGTTATGTTTTCTAGTCTTCTTTCGTAGGGATGACCCTTGCTCGTATAAATTCTGTGGGACATTAAAGAACCCACGCACTGTTTGTTAAGAGTAGGGGACGTTGTCCCCAGTGTGGTGGTCTATCTCTTATGTGGGGCGGAACTCTTACAGGCCCATAGTAATTGGCGCCACCTGCTGTTGCTGTGACCCAGCCAAGAATAAGCAATTAGCAAACCTAAGTAAATAAACATATGGAAGGTGTCAAGGGTTTTACGTTCCACCAACTAATGAGTCCCAGAATCAACTCCCAATAAGTTCAGCATCTACGTTATATCCATCTAATGGTACTCTCAAAACTCTTTGAACAGCATTATACACAGGGTATGAGCAGCAGAGTGAAGTCTATATCACTATCATCATATGAACCATCAACAGCAAGGGACCCAACACTACAGTCAAAAGATAAGAGAGACATTTTGGCAGTTTGTCTGTCTCACATGGTGGTTATATGGACATTTGTGTCTGAATCACAGTGGACTGTGCTCAGTAAATGGACTCTGCCTGTGGTGAGAGATTGTTATATGATTATTTTATAAATCAGTGTTCAGTTAAGTGTTGAAAGTAGCTTATGAATAGTCCAGTTTCAAATTATCCAACTTCATACAAACAAACAAGCAACAAAGTTCATTCGCATTACCATTTGCTTAGATGGTGTTGCATAAAAAATCGAAAATAATATAAAAATAAAATAGATTAATAACTAAATAAAAAGAAAAGTAAATCCCCCCAAAAAGATATTCATGGTAGTTTAGGATTAATGGTATAAATGTGGTAACAAAGTGATCACAATGATACTGGGTTCCCAGGCTGAGAATAAAACAAAGAAAATGAATTGTTAATATCTGAATTTCAATGCAATTTCTTTTGTTTTATACCTCTCAGCCTAACAGCCCAGTATGAATTTTAATAATAAAAGACTGGCCTGTTACTATGGGTTTGTGACTCGATACAGCTTTAGGCTCTTTCTCATCAAGAGCCAAAAACCCATTGACCCAAAACAAGTTCAGTTTAAAAAAAAAGATTACAATACTGGGAACGAAAGAAATTCTAGGGTTTCTTATCCAAATAGAGTCAAGCTTAGACTGATTTCCCCTTAAATGGACACTTTTTTACCTCGAACATCTGTTGTTACTAAATAGGATGGAGAAGAAGAGTTTGTAAGTGTCNACTCTGCCTGTGGTGAGAGATTGTTATATGATTATTTTATAAATCAGTGTTCAGTTAAGTGTTGAAAGTAGCTTATGAATAGTCCAGTTTCAAATTATCCAACTTCATACAAACAAACAAGCAACAAAGTTCATTCGCATTACCATTTGCTTAGATGGTGTTGCATAAAAAATCGAAAATAATATAAAAATAAAATAGATTAATAACTAAATAAAAAGAAAAGTAAATCCCCCCAAAAAGATATTCATGGTAGTTTAGGATTAATGGTATAAATGTGGTAACAAAGTGATCACAATGATACTGGGTTCCCAGGCTGAGAATAAAACAAAGAAAATGAATTGTTAATATCTGAATTTCAATGCAATTTCTTTTGTTTTATACCTCTCAGCCTAACAGCCCAGTATGAATTTTAATAATAAAAGACTGGCCTGTTACTATGGGTTTGTGACTCGATACAGCTTTAGGCTCTTTCTCATCAAGAGCCAAAAACCCATTGACCCAAAACAAGTTCAGTTTAAAAAAAAAGATTACAATACTGGGAACGAAAGAAATTCTAGGGTTTCTTATCCAAATAGAGTCAAGCTTAGACTGATTTCCCCTTAAATGGACACTTTTTTACCTCGAACATCTGTTGTTACTAAATAGGATGGAGAAGAAGAGTTTGTAAGTGTCAAGTTTGTACCAATTAAGTCTCATGTTGTTCTTCTGGTTGGTGGAAATTTTCATCATGGAAATGGAAGGTGGGTGACATGATTCTACAGAAGCGTTACTGTTGTAAAGAGACCTTTCTTTTGCTCTGTTATTGTAAAGGCACAGGAATCTTTGACCAACATTGTCTCATAACGTTTTTACTTTAAATGTGACAGTTACGAAAATTTGCTCCTACCTTTCAGTAATAATAGTGAAAAAATTTGATTTGACTGGCGGTAAATAGTTTTGTGAGATTAAAGCTTTTTAAGGAAAGTCTCCTCCAAGTGATAAACTTTGCTGTTACTTTTATTTGGCTGAAATGTCTGGTATACGGTTTTATTGATGTAATATGTAAGTCAAATAAATCATTGGAGAAGAAGTCTGTAAAAATTAAGGGACTCTGAATTCAACTTTGAAGTTATTTTCAAATTTTTGGATAACAGCACTATCAATCTTGAGGGTTTTATCTAAACACTGAATCACAAGCTCATATAATAGGACCAAACTGATTTAAGTGCACAAAGTTAAAAATTGTGTTTAAAAATATAAGACTAGTAAACTTGGGTGTAGCTCTTTTTTCCGTATTGCTTACCAAAAATGAAGGTCGGGATAACTTGTACAAGGTTTTCACTTAAGAGGGGAAGAGACAGAAAAAGAACGAAATATGGAAAATAAAAAGTTTTCTCTTACTTTTACAATGTCAGAGTCCTTGGTTATTCAGAGGAGGGTGAATACTCACTGGACCTGGAAATTGATGAACAGTAAGTGGAGTGCTTCTTACCTCTTGACTAAAACAATTTGTGGTAATGATATCTGCCCATGAAAATAATTTTTATCTGCACCTCTCTCTTAGATGTTGTAGAACAAATTAATGACTCTGTAATTGTGTTTGTAATGTCTCCAAATAAGTGGTAGGACTTGAGGAGAATCAAATCATATCATGTGTATGTTGTGGACCTTTATACTTTACATAGGTAACAGTTGTCACAGGAGCGATCTTTCATTTTTCGCCAGTTTTTGACCAATGGATGTTACTACAGGAAAAAAAGCATGCAGTTCTTAATTCATTTGTTTTAAACAATTCACAGAGAAAACAAGTATTCCTTTTCGACGATGAGTTTACTCCATGATACAAAGGATTACAAGACTGGCGAAGACGTAGAGTTTGTCATAGGAGATAAGACATCTAATAAAATTACCCTGACAAAGTGGACTTTGGACAGCTTTTGTTTGTAAGTTGTATTCTGTGTAACACTGATGTACCGTTTTTAGAAGAGTATGTCTTGTGACCATAATAACTCATACTGCCACTAGAGTGGTGACAAGGTTGCTCANGAGTTTACTCCATGATACAAAGGATTACAAGACTGGCGAAGACGTAGAGTTTGTCATAGGAGATAAGACATCTAATAAAATTACCCTGACAAAGTGGACTTTGGACAGCTTTTGTTTGTAAGTTGTATTCTGTGTAACACTGATGTACCGTTTTTAGAAGAGTATGTCTTGTGACCATAATAACTCATACTGCCACTAGAGTGGTGACAAGGTTGCTCATCTCTGAAACAATTAGTCTTAAATACACCATTACATCTCTATCATGGCGCCATGAACACAAATCAACATTTCAGTCTTAACAATATGCAGCATGTTTGTCACATGAACCTAGTTTAGGTAGCCCTACAGTGTAGCTCCCACAAGTGTCTTGTAGCCCAGTGGTATAGCATCTGGTCTAGGTCTAGGCTGGAAGTAGGTTGTGTAACTGATCATCTAGGTTGTCTGAAGCTAGTGTAACTGACTGAAAAATCTTCTTTCTCAGAAAATCATTGGAGGACATTATGCATTTTGTAGTTCTTGTCTTATTTACATATTGTCAACCTACTTTCCTGCTATTCTTTTCTCATCAAGGTTGGTCGAACAGTGGCAGAAGTTTACTCCTATCTATAGTGACTCTGAACTGTCATCTCTCCAATTTGTTCATGGAAGTCATTGTCTTCTTTTGGGGACTACAAATGAGAACTTGATACTGTGGTAAGTTTTCTGCAGACCAAATGCGCCTTTGTAGCTTTACTTAGAGGCCTTAATTAGCTTTAAAAACTGTAAAAATAATTGTTTTCAGGCTTTTCCACCCTGGAAAGGCAACAATTTTTCTGCTGTTTGACTGCCTTGTCCACGTTGAAATTGTTTGTTCCACCAACATTAACGGATATTTTATATTCTCTTAAAATGTCTTTTAAGATTTTTCCGGGTAGGTATTTTTTGGGGGGAGCTTCTCTATTCTGTTGCTGAATTTTGTTTAAGAAAACTGTATGTCAATATGGTCTGTTTTGTCCGTACGGTCGAGGAATACTCTTGTTCTTTCACACTCAAAATCTTAATTTGCCAGTTAATCCCAGTTTATCTGTTTCACCCTGTACTACTTGCAGCTCAAGGAGCACCACGAAGAGAAAGTGTTCACCGAAATCTTTTGAAGGCGATTACAGGCCTTTCCAACGATTCCAACATTTGTTTCTTGCAAGATTTAATTTAGAGTCACTCACCATACTGTTCTTTCTAGGAACCACATAACATGTCAACAATTAAGAAGCATAAACCTTCACACTTCAGGGTTGGGTCAACTGTCTTGTATCAACGCTTTTACTGACAAGGTGAGATAAAAGTTTTTCCTTTTGTTTTTTTGCTAAAATTACAGTCTGTCCATCTCTTATTGCAAGAAAACCCTCTTCAGGTTTTAACTTACAATAAAATTATTTATCATAATCCTTTACTGCAAGGAAATTATATTCATTTCTTTGATGATGCTATACTAAAAAAAAAGCTAATAAAGATTAATTAGCAGGAAAGTAAATATTTCTGAGAGGATTTCTGAAGATGATTTAAACTCTATCATTCTAAGTGCAAGTAGCTATCATGGCATCCCTTTGGGAACCTTCTATAAAATGACAGTCTTTGAGTGAAATATAGTTTATTTATTGTTTTGTTTTTTTCAGGGTCTCCTTTTTCTGATAATGTCCAGTATTCAAGCAGCTAAGGTAGTGTTTGTTACATCTAAAACTTAATTACATTTCTCTTTCAATACAGCTGCCTCAAGTCAGTTTTGTTCGAGACCCTGTTTTCCAAGACAGTCAAATCTTGTTAAGTCTGCAAAAAAGGCGTTTTTTGTGCGTTTATGGACAAGTGAAACGTCCAAACGAAGCACGGAACTTGAGCGCGACTGAAGGTGGCGCAAGATACTGTTAAACTAATGCACGTGACTCGAGCTCCATGTTTCCTTGTTAAACTCAAACAATTTTCTAACGTAGCATTTAGGGTGTTCTGGTCATAGAAAAATGAACAAAGAACTCCAGACAAAAATAATCACCGATTAGTACATTTTGAACCTTCAAGGACTGGAAAAAAGTAATTTGACGATTCGGTAGTAAGTGGAAAAATCCGGTTTTTTTATTTATTTGACTATTCTTCAAACCAAAGAGGGGGGCAGCTATTGCGGGAGAAATGTATGTAAATGTCAGCTGCGCTCATTGTTTACAATTTGTATCTTTAGCTATCTCATTTAAAATGGAAGACAGGCTTTAGGCGTGCTTAAATGCATCTTAGCGTAATAACACTAGTCCCTGTTTGCGATTTATTGAATGATTGGATGTTGTGTTTTTTCAGGGATGTAATTCTGATCATAAAAACAGTCATGGTTGCTCGTTGTACGCCATGAATCCTAGACATTCCAGAGGTATCTGCTTGGAAAGTTTTGTCTTACCCGAAAGGTCAGTAAGTACATAGAAAACTGTATTGTGAACTCTTGTGTTACGGTGTAAAATGTCGCTACTGCATTAACATAATGTTGTGATCAGAGAGATACATGTACATCCTTTCTGTTGTTGTTTTAACTGTAGTCAGAAAAAGGGAAAAGCGATTTGAGAATTGTTCAATAAAAGTTATTAGATGAGTTTTGTCAGGACTGAGGTGAATTTGTCGACAACCCTGTAATCTGATTTCGTTTAAAATCTGCCCCCTAACAACCACTGGTTCAATGTTGCGTAATTTACTTTTTGTGTTTGTTTGATGTTACATTTGTTCATTATTTAAGAAAGTCTTAAAGGTAATGTATATTTAACTTAACCTTTGTTCACAGGGTCAGTATTGTGAGCACAAATGGTCAGTTTATTGCTGCTGGAGATCAGGAAAAGAATGTAGTAAAACTTTGGAACATAACCAGCAGTAATCAGTATGCCACCCTTCAAGTCTTCCAAGGTATTTTTGAGCTCTATTTTGTATTGACCCTAACCATAACCTAAATAGCTAAGGCAATATGAGAAGGGGATGCCCATATCACTGTAACAGCGACAAGAGAGAAAAACGAGAAGATCCTGGGGACGAGGTTGTTTTTTCCCTGTCCCTGGTAACAATCCCAGGGGTCTTTGCGAAAGTTACCTCAGCCCAGTTTCCTTGTCGAAGATAATATTCATAGAAACCTATGTGCAGCAGCCATGTAGCCTACCGCCGCCTACTGTAACTGTTCTCTTGTGTTTGGCAGATGAAGTGAGCAGCATTGGCTTTCATCAAGACAAGCCTCTTATGGCCTTCGGAAGCATTACAGGCTGTGTTCATCTCTTTTCTTAAGACTAGCTAAAACTGCAGTCTGTCCATCTCTTATTGCAAGAAAACCCTCTTCAGGTTTTGACTTACATGTACAATAAAATTCTTTATCATAATCCTTTACTGCAAGGAAACTATATTCATTTCTTCGATGATGCTATACTAAAAACTAATAAAGATTAATTAGCAGGGAAGCAATTATTTCTGAGAGGATTTCTGAAGGTGATTTAAACTATCATTGAAAGTGCAAGTAGCTATCATGGCATCCCTTTTTTAAATGATCTTTATGCTTTTATGGGGAGCTTTCTATAAAGTGATGGTCCTGGAGTGGAATATGGTTTATTTATTGTTTTGTTTTTTTCAGGGTCTTCTGTTTTTGATAATGTCCAGTATTCCAGCAGCTAAGGTAGTGTTTGTTACATCTAAAACTTAACTACATTTGTCTTTCAATACAGCTGCTTCTCGTCTCTTATGTTCGAGACCCTGTTTTCCAAGAAAGTCAAGTCTTGTGAAGTCTGCAAAAAGGGCGCTTTTTGTGCGTTTATGGACAAGTGAAACGTCCAAACGAAGCACAGAACTTGAGCGCGACTGAAGAGGGCGCAAGATACTGTTAAACTAATGCACGTGACTCGAGCTCCTTGTTTCCTTGTTTAAACTCATACAATTTTCTAACGTAGCATTTAGCGAGTTCTGGTCATAGAAAAATGAACAAACGACTCCAGACAAAAATAATCACCGATTAGTGCATTTTGAACCTTCAAGGGCTGGAAAAATGTAATTTGACGATTCTGTAGTAAGTGGAAAGATGCGTTTTTTTATTTGACTATTCTTCAAGCCAAAGAGGGGGACAGCGAGGGAGAAATGTATGTAATGTCAGCTGCGCTTATTGTTTACAATTTGTATCTTTAGCTATCTCATCTAAAATGGAAGACAGGCTTTAGGCGTGCTTAAATGCATCTTAGCGTAATAACACTAGTCCCTGTTTTGCGATTTATGGAATGATTGGATGTTGTGTTTTTTCAGGGATGTAATTCTGATCATAAAAACAGTCATGGTTGCTCGTTATACGCAATGAATCCTAGAAATTCCAGAGGTATCTGCTTGGAAAGTTTTGCCTTACCCGAAAGGTCAGTAAGTACATAGAAAACTCTTATGTAGTTGTGAACTCTTGTGTTACGGTGTAAAATTTCGCTCCTGCATTAAAATAATTTTCTGATGAGAGAGATATATGTACACCCTTTCTGTTGTTTTAACTGTATACAGAAAAAAGGAAAAGCGATTTGGAAATTGTTAAATAAAAGTTTATCGATGAGTTTTGTCAGGACTGAAGTGAATTTGTCGACAAAACCCTGTGATCTGATTTCGTTTAAGATTGTAGTTAAATGTCCCGTGTTCAAAGTAATCAACAATTATGCCTTTTAACCAAAATTGCACTTCTGCTCCCTAACAACAAATTGTTCATAGCGTAATTTACTTTTACTAATTGTGTTTGTTGGACGTTAGATTTGTTTATTATTTAAGAAAGTCTTAAAGGTAATCTATCTTTAACTTAACCTTTGTTCACAGGGTCAGTGTTGTGAGCACAAATGGTCAGTTTATTGCTGCTGGAGATCAGGAAAAGAATGTAGTAAAACTTTGGAACATAACCAGCAGCAATCTGTATGCCACCCTTCAAGTCTTCCAAGGTATTTTTGAGCTCTATTTTGTATTAACCCTAACCCTAACCTAAATCGCTAAGCCAATATGAGAAGGGGATGCCCATATCACTGTAACAGCGACAAGAGAGAAAATCGAGAAGATCCTGGGGATGAGGTTGTTTTTTTCCTGTCCCTTGTAACAATCCCAGGAGTCTTTGCGAGTCAGCCAAGGTTCTTTGGCGAAGATAATACTGATAGAACCCCGCTATGTGCAGCAGCCATGTAGCTTCCTACCGCCGCCTACTGTAACTGTTCTCTTGTGTTTGGCAGATGAAGTGAGCAGCATTGGCTTTCATCAAGACAAGCCTCTTATGGCCTTCGGAAGCATTACAGGCTGTGTTCATCTCTTTTCTTAAGACT